TGCAGGTGCGAAAGTGGTGACATGTTTTACGTTAAAAGCAGAAAGTGATGTAACATTTATTTTCTTCCGCTGTGTGATGAGACACCTAGCTAATAGTGGGAAGCCTCACTTTCATCATTCACTGGGTGCGCTGCTAGTAATACAGAGTAATGTCAGAGCTTACTGAGCTTCAAAGAGGGCAAATTGTTGGTGCTGCTCAGCTGGTTTCACCGTGACTGAAGTTGGCAATGTATTTGCCGTATCGTGAGGTACAGTTTCAAAGGTTATGACAGCTTATACAGTTTACGGGAAAATTATGTCTGCTAATCATATGCACGGTTGACAATGATCAACTGACCAAAAGAGACAAAAAGAACATTGCACGAGATTGTGACCCGGAATAAGAAAACAACTGATGCAAAAGTGACTGCAGAGCTCAATCTCAGTCTTCACAGTGTCTCATCACACAGCAGAAGCAAACGAATGTTGCATCACTTCCGCTTTCACTGCAAAACATGTTGCCACTTTCACACCTGCAAATCATGTAGTGTTTCCATATTTTTTTGTCTAACCCTTTGTAAGCAAATATGTCTTATTAACTGGCATCCATTTTGTATAATGCCTCCTTTTCGAGATGTGTGAACAGTTAGTTTTGCTTATAACTCCTCTCTCATTTTCTGAGATTAGTTTCATTTCAGTATACATGGATCTACCTTATATGCTATCCCTCAACTATTTGCAGTTTCTGTTCTTCACATAAGTGTTTTGATAAGAGTGGAATGTTTCATTGGTCATCCTAAGATTAAGCAACGCCTACTGAGTTGTGTATAACCATTCTTGTTTTGCATTAAACTTTCAGAGATTTAGCTTTCACACTTCAGTGTCTGGAGCTTTTTTTCCTCCCAGGCCTGAGGGTGAGAGGTGTGAAAAAATTGACAGTGGCCTCCACCTGTAAAAACATTACTGTTTTGGGGGTCATCTCAGTCTTGCCCACCTAGTGCACCTGTTGCTAATTTCATTAATACCAAAGCAGCTGAAACCGATTAACAACCCCCTCTGCTACTTAACTGACCAAATCAATATCCCAGGAGTTTAATTGACTTGATGCTATACTCTGATTTAAAAGTTTTCATTTAATTTCTTGGAGTAGTGTATTTTGCTGAAGCTCAATAGTGTGAGCACAGTCTTACGAACTTATGAAGCTGACACTAGAAGAGGTGTCCACATGGGAAGATTTCCCTTCTCTTCTTAAACTGGTGACAACTCAAAACTTTCTGCCTCGGTGACAGTGGTAACCCACACAGAGAAAGGACAAACCTCCATAATGAGGATATAGACAATAATAAACAACTGATAGGGATTTCTACCCCTTCACCACTCTGCATGTCTCCTGGTTAGCAAGACCGTTGGTGAGTATGAATCCTTCTAATGGAGCACTAGATAGCAGTAAATAGTTTGACTGAGGTTTTAACCCTTCCCCATTTCCACTTTAAAGTGTATTTACAGCCCATAAAACCTCTATCAAGTTATTTTTGATGTCTGTATCCCAATGGGGAGATTTCTCTTCACTTCCTGTCCTGCAGACACAACAGGGAACGAGATAAAATCTCTCTAAAGTAAACAGAATTGCAATTTTAAAAAGTTTTAACAGTTGTTCTCATTTGAGGATTTTCCCATTAGTTTTGCTTTGATGACAAATTAAAAAGTTTGGTTTTCCCATTACTTTCTGCCTCAGGGACAGTGATCACCAGTACAGTCACCAATATTAGTGTATATTATCCAAAAGAAACAACACCAAAAAGCATACAACAACATAACACTTAGGGCTCAACAGGCATTTTTCTTCAGTGGAAAAACAGAAATCACCACAAGAGAACATAGAAAACAGTTGTCCCCTCTGCACACCATAATGCTGGTGTTATGTGTACTGTGGAACAGTGAAGCAAAATGTAGGCCTGCTGCATTTGTCCGAAGGGCAGAGGAAGGCACCACATGAAAACATGAATGGAGGTATGGATGAAGAGTTAGGCTGGCCATACATTATACAATTATCTTCCAATTTTCTGCCCAATTTCCTTTAGATTTACCTTCATCTGTGTAGTGCAAGGGCCTGCCTAATTGGATACAACTGAAAGTGTTGTTTAGGTTTGTCCTCCTATTATATGGTTTTTGGTAAATCTAAACCAAAAATCTCCAGATAATTGTATAATGTATGGCCCAGCCTTATTGTGTGACCCTTCAAATAAAGTTAAAAAAAATTAAACCGTGAGTTGCACTGAAACCCGCATCACACCATCTGAAGTTTGCCCATATGGCAAAACTCTGTTTTACTGTTCAGGACACTGTGTACAAGTCCTTATAGTCAACATAATCTTCTAACATTATGAAAATGTTCATTATTTTGTTGGGAAATTTGATCCTACCAAAAAAAAAAAAAAAGAGATTCCTACTAATTGAAAGAAAAACTGGTTGCAACCAGTACTCTCTAACTGTAAATGACAAATGATGAGCCCTTAATTGGTCACCTTCTGCCAAGATAATCAAAAGAAGTCAAACTGACTGGAAACATGACAAGTATTACACCAGATACTGCGAGGCTCTGTTTACCATCATTTATGAATTCAAATTCCTCGACGTGCTCAGACGTGTTTAAGAGTTAATTTGCTACAATGAATTAGAAAAGCATTTACGTGAGTGGTGGGGGACACGTGAGCTCTCTTGCCTCTTGATGGTATAGAATTATGTAACATAGGAACGAAATTAGGAGCTTGCTGCCAGTGTTTTTTTATTTTTACATAGCAACCAATAGTAAACAGAAAGTTACAGTTACAAGACAACAAACATGCTTGGGTCCTAATCACAAAAATGCAAAAATATGCCCAAGGTTGTGCTAATTTGTATGGTAGAATATTGCCTCATTATAGTCCCTTACATGTAGTTGCATAGTTATTCTGGCTGAAAAAAGACAAAAGTCCATCCAGTTCAACCATAAAAAAAAATTGTTATAATCCCATACCCACAGTTGATTCAGAGGAAGGCAAAAAAAAACCAGCAAAGCATGATCCAATTCCTTCCTGATCCCCTAAGAGGCAATAGGATATTCCCTGGATCAACTTTACCTATAAATGTTAGTATCCAGTTATATTCTGTGTATCTAAGAAAGAATCCAGGCCTTTATTAAAGCAATCCACTGAGCTGGCCAGAACCAACTCTTAAGGGAGTCTATTCCACATTTTCACAGCTCTTACTGTAAAGAAACCTTTCCATGCTTGGAGATGAAATTTCTTTTCCTCCAGATGTAGAGTGCCCCCTTTGTCCTCTGTGATGACCTCAGGGTTAATAGATCTACACCGAGTTCACTATATGGACTACTGATGTATTTATACATTTTGATCATATCCCCCCTTAATCTCTTCTCAAGAGAGAGAAAAATTCAGTTCCTCAATCTTTCTCATAGCTGATCTCCTTCATGTGAATCAGTTTAGTTGCCCAAAACTGAACTGCAGTTTCCCCAATGTTCTTTTTGTGAATTGGTGCCCAAAACTGAACTGCATATTCCAGATGAGGTCTTACTAATGATTTGTACCGGGGTAATATGATATCTCTCTCTCTGGAGTCTATACCTCTTTTAATACAAGAGAGGATTTTGCTTGCTTTATAAACCGCAGCCATTATTAAGCTTGTAATCTACCAGAACTCCCTGATCCTTCTCCATCATTGATTCCCCCAGTTGTACCCCCCCTAGTCTCCCCCAAGTGCATAACCTTACATTTATCAACATTAAACCTCATTTGGCCACATAGTTTCCCAATTAAACAGTGCATTGAGGTCGGTTTGTAAGTTGGAGACATCCTGTAAGGACCTTATGCCACTGCAGGTCTGTCTTTGTCCTCTCGATGCTGACATTACACAAATATGCAGCCTCACAGAACTGGACTGTATTCCCTAGGGCCGCATATTTGTGTACATGTCTTTGTGCTGGGAACGCATCGCACAACGCGCTTCAAGCACAAAGACCAAGGTGTCACTGAGAGCCGGGACTCCCGATTCCGGTTCACATGATCGTTGTTATAGCCTCTGATTGGATATCACAGTGATCAGTCACTGTGAAGCCCGCCCCCCTTGGCTTTTTTCCTCTCTGAATGGAGGAAATACATTGTATCTCTCTCTCTCTCTCCTCCTGCATAAAGAAAAAAAAAACAACTGTTTGTTAAAAAAAAGATAAAGAAATAAATATTAAAGAATAAAAGAAAAAATACCTAGATCAAGGCTTGATCTAGTTCAGTGTCAGGGTTAGTGTTTGGGTCAATGTCAGGGTCAAAGGTCAAGAATTTTTTTTTTGAATTGGTATCAGTGCCAGTTAGTGTCAGTGTCAGTGTGTTTTAGGTAAAAAAAAAAAAAATGTGCACTATTGTTTCCTGGCTGTAGTACAGGTACAAACAACAAATAACATGCACATATATGGTATCACTGCGATCGTCAAGAGCTGGAAAATTTATTTTGGGTTGTTCTTTGATGGCAGGTTATGGTAGTAACAAGAAACAAAAAGCTAAATAAACCACTTGCCCTCCTGAAAATGTATCCCCCTTCCTGACCAGGCTATTTTATGCGTTACTGCGCTGCATTTCTTTAACTGACAATTGCACAGTCATGCAATACTGCACCCAAATGAAGTTTACGTCCTTTTTTTCCCACAAATTGAGCTTTCTTTTGGTGGTATTTGATTGCCTGTGCATTTTTATTTTTTGTGCTATAAAAAAAAAAGTTTGACGATTTTGAGAAAAAAAACAATATTTTTGACTTTTTGTTATTAAACATGTCCAGTAAAAAAATTTTAAAAAAATTTTAAAAAATGTATTTTCTTTTGCTAAAAAAAATCCCAATATGTGTAAATTAAATGGTTTATGTGAAATGTATAGTGTTTACAAATGGGAGTGTATATATATACTGGGATTTTTTTATTTTTTTATTTTTACTAGTAATGACGGCGATCAGTGACTTATAGCAGGGCTGCGGGACTGCAGGACTGCGGCGGGCATTCTGACACTGGGGGGAAAAGACTTGGTGTCACTGACATCCCCAGTGACACCAATACAGTGATCAGTGCTAATAAAAATGCACCGACACTGTAGTAATGGCACTGGCAGGAAGGGGTTAATATGTGGGGCGATCAAAGGGTTAACTATGTGCTGTTTTACATTGTGTGGCTGTGTTTGTGCTTCTCTGTAAGCACACTGCTTTGAATGGCTGTGCTATGTACAGCCATGCAAAGAAGAAGTATGCAGGAGCTGACAAGGGAGAGAACTGTTTTGTTTTATAAACAGTCCCCCCCCTTCCCCCGTCGGAGACACCGGTGAGTTTATGTGGTTCCAGCTGCCTGGAGATCATTAACTAGATCCTCACATCTGGGATGATTCCTCACTGTTCTCATGATCATTGACACTCCACGAGGTGAAATCCTGCATGTGTTTCTTCCATTTGCGAATGATTGCACAAACTGTTGTCACCTTCTCACCAAGCTGCTTGGCGATAGTTTGGTAGCCCAGTCCAGCCTTATGTAGGTCTACAATCTTGTCCCTGACATGCTTGGACAGCTCTTTGGTCTTTGCCATGCTGGAGAGTTTGGAATCTGATTGTCTGATTGCTCCTGTGGACAGGTGTCTTTTATACAGGTAACAAAATGAGATTAGCAACCTTTAAGAGACTGCTTCTAATCTCAGTTTACCTGTACAAAAGACACCCGGTAGCCAGAAATCCTGCTGAATGAAAGGCGATCAAATACTTATTTCCCTCATGAACATGCAAACCAGTGCATAATTTGTTAGACATGCATTTCTTTTGAATTTGTTGTTGCTATTCTGTCTCTCAGTGCTACAATACACCTACCATTCAATTTTTAGACTCATCATTTCTTTGTGAGTGGGCAAACATTGATTTTGCACACCCGTGCCACCCTGTAGTAGTACTTCTAGTAGTACTGCTATAGGACACACGGGAAGTGGTTAAAAAAAATGATTTTTTTAAAACTATTTTGGACCAGTTTTCCTTTGATGAAAAAAAAACATTAAGGGGCTATCCATTGCCATTTATCACCAAATGAAAGTCCAATTTGTCCTGAAAAAAACAAGGTATGTTCAGCAGACTGTGTTCTTCTATTGTTGTGACTTAGATGACGTTCAGAGCACATTTTATGCCCAATTCATGCAAAGCACCTCGTAATCCCAAGGGGTTCACATACTTTTTCTTGCAACTGTATTTGAAGAGTTTTTTGGGGATTTGGCCAGACTATTTCCCCAGACTATCACTGACCCACCACCAAAACGGTCATGCTGAATGATGTTACAGGCTGCAGGAAGTTCTCCATGGCTTCTCCAGACCCTTTCACATCTGTCACATGTGCTCAGGGAGACCCTGCTCTCATCTATGAAAAGCACAGGGTGCCAGTGGCAGACCTGCCAAATCTGGTGTTCAATGGCAAATGCCAGTTGAGCTCTATGGTGCTGGGCAGTGAGCACAGGGCCCACTAGAGGATGTCGGGCCCTCAGAAAGCACCATGTGATTCCCTGGCAGGTGCATTTTCGAAATGGTGCATGCACCTCTTTTCTTTGGGAAATGCACACACAATAGCCCATTTAGGTATGATTAACCACCTCCCGTTCAGCCGTTGTACATAAACGGCTGGATGGTGGCAGTGCAGGGACTGGTGGCCGTTTATAAATGCCTCCCGGCCCCCTGCTTGTGTGCGCTCCCTGGGAGCGCTCAGCACCGCGATCCATTGCCCGCTGTGTCCTCCGGACACAGTGGAACACCGATCATCGTACGGGACCTCTGTGCGAGGTCCTGATCATGTGATCACTGATTGGCCAATCAGTGATCACATGCAGAGTAGTAAAGCAAGATGTCACGTCTGACATCATTGCTTACTACGTGTGAAATCTGTGAATGATCACAGAGGTCACATGGTACAAGGCTATTCACAACAGCCTTGTACCATGTGACAAGCTGTGACCAATCACAGCTCACACAGTATTTCTCAATGGCTGCAAGAATGCAGCCAGGGAGAAGGAGACATGATTGCTTTTACAGCCTTTATGGGTGAAAAGCAATCACTGTAAAAAAAAAAAATCTTCATCACCCCCCCACAAATAGCACAGTGTCACCATGGTGACACTGTACTGCTAGGATGACAGTATGTAAAAAAAAAAAAAACAAATAATAATATAAAAAAATCAAATAAAAATGTAAAAAAAGAAAATTATAATTTTTGATTGTAAACTAATTTGGGTTCATTTTTTTTTACTAAAAAGATAACTGAATAAATTATGGCCAACATTTATGATGAAATATAATTTATTTGCAAAATTTTATAAGAAAAACACCTTTTTTCAACATTTTTGGACTTTTTCATTTATATAGCAAAAAAAAAATAAAAATCCCAGCAGTGAATAAATACCACCAAAATAAATTTTTATCTGTCTCAAAAAAATGCTAAACAATTCATATGGGTACAGTGTTGCATGACCGCGCAATTGTCATTCAAAGTGTGATAGCGCTGAAAGCTGAAAATTGCCCTGGACAGGAAGGGGGTAAAAGTGTCCGGACTGGAAGTGGTTAAGGCCTCATGCACACTTGAACTAAATAATGCTGCTTTTACTGGCATTTGAGCTTTTTTTTCCCTCTGCCTCTAAACTTCCCACCTAGTTGCATTATGTGTCAATGCACACTATAGGGTCATTTACAAAAGTTTAGAGTCAGGGGCGTTTAGAGACAGAAAAATCCACCAAAGTCATGTTCAGTAGAGGAGCTTTTGAGCATAAAAATCTCCTGAAGCACCTAAACGCATTTAAACACACCAAAGTGTTAGGTGCATTTAGCACTTGAGTGTTTTTTTATTTCAATGTCCAGAATAAATTAATATTCTGGCCAATGAAATAAACGCCAAAGAGCTTGGGGCGTCTAAACCCAATTGCAAAATGTGGCTTGCGGTGCATTTTTGAGTGTTTAGAAAAGCCCCAGTGTGCATGAAGCCTAAAGGTGAATGGGATGTAGTAGTGCAGCGCACTGTAACACACCATGTTGCAGCACTTGTGTTACCACAAAGGACAAAGCTGCACTTCCACAAAGTCTCATCATGAAGTTTAATCAACCTTGCTGGCTTCTCACATAGCCCCTGTTCTAAGCCATGCCCGTCTGGGGTGTGGCATAGGGCGGGGACTAATTGGGAAGACAGCTGTTTTGATTAAGCTTCATGATGAGAGTTTATGGAAGTGCGGCTTTCTCCTTCATTTTTACTATATATGCTGAGCTAGATGAGCTCCTAAAGCCAGCACCCAGTGTGGAGGGGGACCAGAGCAATATGCTCAGGACTTGGAGCAGTGCAGTCTCTTCTCTAAAATAGTTTGAATAGGACCTTACTTACCCACAACCCCTCTTTTTCTGGCCAACTTTTCTCTACTGTGTCCCAGCCCCCTGGGACACAGCGGATCACCGATCAATGGAAAGAGCTGAAGACGTCAGCTCTGTCATGTGATTAGCTGTGTCCAATCACAGCTGATTGCATGTAAATAATGCAGTGTGCCCTGATGATCAGTGTAGCCCCAGCAGTGCCACCTGTCAGTGCCCATCAATGCCACTTGTCATTGCCCTTCAATGCCACCTGCCAGTGCCCATCAGTGCCACATCAATGCCACATATCAGTGCCTACCAGTGCACATTAATGCCACATATCAGTGCCCATCTGAGCTGCCTTTCAGTGCCACCTATCAGTGCTAGTCAGTGCCATCTATCAATGCCAGTCAGTGTCACCTATCAGTGCTGCCAATCAGTGCCAGTCAGTGTCACCTATCAGTGCTGCCAATCAGTGCCAGTCAGTGTCACCTATCAGTGCTGCCAATCAGTGCCACCTATTATTGCCAGTCAGTGCCGCCTATCAGTGCACATCAGGGCCGCCTATCAGTGCCCATCAGTGCTGCCCATCAGTGCCACCTAACAGTGCCAGTCAGTGCCACCTAACAGTGCCAGTCAGTGCCGCCTATCAGTGCCAGCTAGTGCCGTCTATCAGTGCCACCTATCAGTGCCATATATGAGTGCTGCCTTTCAGTGGCCATCAGTGAGGCCTGTCAATGCTCCTCAGTGCCACCTACCAGTGCCTCCTCATCAGTGCCCATCAGTGCAGCCTCATTAGCGCACATCAGTGAAGGAGAAAAATCACTTATTTACAAAATTTTATAACAGAAACTAAACTTTTTTTTTTCAAAATTTTCAGTTGTTTGTGGTTTGTTTAGCAAAAAATAAAAAACCCAGTGTTGATTAAATACTTGCTTGCCACTCCATTAAATGAGAGACAGTAGAACAAGTACACTTAAAAAATATCCATGTTATGGCCATATTGAAACATATGTCCCTTGAGGGTTAGGGACTGATGGGAATGTACATAATGGGAATGTAATATACAGGTGAAACTCGAAAAATTAGAATATCGTGCAAAAGTTCATTTATTTCAGTAATGCGACTTAAAAGGTGAAACTAATATATGAGATAGACTCATTACATGCAAAGCAAGATAGTTCAAGCCGTGATTTGTCATAATTGTGATGATTATGGCTTACAGCTCATGAAAACCCCAAATCCACAATCTCAGAAAATTAGAATATTGTGAAAAGGTGCAATACTCTAGGCTCAAAGTGTCCCACTCTAATCAGCTGATTAAGCCATAACACCTGCAAAGGGTTCCTGAGCCTTTATATGGTCTCTCAGTCTGGTTCAGTAGGAATCACAATCATGGGAAAGACTGCTGACCTGACAGTTGTGCAGACAACCATCATTGACACCCTCCATAAGGAGGGAAAGCCTCAAAAGGTAATTGCAAAAGAAGCTGGATGTTCCCAAAGTGCTGTATCAAAGCACATTAATAGAAAGTTATGTGGAAGGGAAAAGTGTGGAAGAAAAAGGTGCACAAGCAGCAGGGATGACCGCAGCCTGGAGAGGATTGTCAGGAAAAGGCCATTCAAAAGTGTTGGGGACTTTCACAAGGAGTGGACTGAGGCTGGAGTCAGTGCATCAAGAGCCACCACATACAGACGGATCCTGGACATGGGCTTCAAATGTCGTATTCCTCTTTTCAAGCTGCTCCTGAACAACAAACAACGTCTCAGAAGCGTCTTACCTGGGCTAAAGAAAAACAGACCTGGTCTGTTGCTCAGTGGTCCAAAGTCCTCTTTTCTGATGAGAGCAACTTTTGCATCTCATTTGAAAACCAAGGACCCAGAGTATGGCGGAAGAATGGAGAGGCACACACTGCAAGATGCTTGAAGTCCAGTGTGAAGTTTCCACAGTCTGTGTTGATTTGGGGAGCCATGTCATCTGCTGGTGTTGGTCCATTGTGCTTAATTAAGTCCAG